AAAAATGAAGCAAGAGGACCATTGGGTGAAAAGCTTCCGTCGTGGCACTTAGCTGCGTTGCTGGCACCCAGCTTCAAATGTAAAATTTCACAGTGAATCAAGATGTGTCTCCAGACACCAGGGCTACTACTGTAGGGAACGAATATCTACCCATAGGCCTGCTGCCAACACAAATCATCATCACCCCAGGAACTATACCATCCGCACTCAATAGTCAGTCACTTGAGGGCCTTCATGTGAGCCTTAGCCTGAGTCCACGCGTCCACGACGGAATTGTCAAGGTAGTTGCCACCAGCGGTATCAATCAGCCCTGCCTCAGACAACACAGGACAGATGAGTTTCTTTTTCAAAACAATGCTTGTTCAGTGATTGGCGCAAAAGCTTTGCAAACTTTCTGGCCCCAATACCTATATAGGTGAACGAATGGGCAGCAACTTGAGGCGGCCAAGGTGCAATTTTCTGCATTGAGTGGATGCATTCCTTCATGTGCATCGGCTGGCAGCTCAAGTAGAAAGCCTCCCATGAAGAATCGATTGAGCTTATATCAGCAAAAGTGACAATGCAGAAAATCAGCTATACAGACTGCAAACATCCGAAGGCCAACCACCAGGCCTGAGTGAGCTTCTCATCGGTGCGGTTCTTATTCACCTTCAAGCCCACAGCTGGCCGGGACCAGTACGGAACCACACTGCTATGCGCGAACGCCAAGATCTCCTTCTTCAAAGCATCGCGGTCAATGAGGGGATGCTTGGCCGGAGTGCTCTTCCGAGGCTTTGTCGAACTTGGCTTGGGGCTTGGAGTCTGCAAAGGGGCGGCAGCTTCTGCCGGCGCTGGGCTCGTAGAGGCCGACAAAGAAGAGGAAGTAGAAGGATCCTCGCCACCGTCAACTTGGTCATCTCCCTCGCTCAAGTGTTTTGCCTTTCTCTTGGAAGGTGCCTTCGCTTTGGCTCCTGGCGAAGCCTTGCTCTTGGGACCAGCTCTGCCCTTGGGAGTTGACTTAGCCTTGGCCTTCGCTTTTGCGGAGGCTTTGGCCTTTGCTCTCGGGTTGACAGGCGCCGCGGTCGTGCTGGACTCCACCCCGTCCTCAGTCTCAGCTTCTCGTTTTGCAGGCTGGCTCCTTCTGTTGCCCTTGCCTTTGCCCTTCTTCTCCTGTTCCTTGTCACCGTGCTTCACGCGCTTTCGCCCCCTGCCCTTCCGAGCTGGTGAGTCATGTTTGCGAGCAAGGTTTTGGTCATCCCGGGTCAAGAATGCCGCCACAGGCGATGGGGGCACCTCTTCACTGTCGGCTAGGTCAGGAGGAGATGGCTGTGTCAAAGGAATCTCCACGCCCTTCTCGGAAGCAAAAGGGGAATCCACCACAGTCATAGCAACTGCAGGAGAGCCTGGGCAGCCTGGGTCCTGGCAGATTGGGTGCTGGGTAATCCCCTCACCCACATTCGAAGGAAATTTCAGGACCAACTTGCAAACACGATCACCACTAAACACAATGACCCCCACCTCTGCAGCAGATGCCGCAGATGGGGGACTGGAAGCCTGCTGCTTCCGAAGCTCAAGCTGCTGCCTGAGATAGGTTACATGAAAAGCAGGCCTGGGCCACAAAGTCACATGGGTTGAAATCTTGAAAGGAACCCTGTCCAACATTTTTGCAGCTGAGTTGCTCCAGGTAGGCAATGCGTGCATCCAAGTCAGGGTCGTGGGAGTTGGGTTCCACCAGCTGCACCTCCTCTTCCTCAGGCTCCTCATCCTCTGCGTCAGAGAATGAGAATGCAACATCGTCGACGTGGAAAGGCATGGTCTCCACAGCGCTGGGGTCCACAGGGCCAGGGGCAACGAAGTGGACTGGAGCAGCGTCAGGGTGATCATCGCCGGAGTCAGGTCGCACATGTGCACCCTCTTCAGCTCCACCAGCACCACCTTCGGCACCATCCTGCCACGGCTGTTGCAAAAAAGAGCCAAAACAAAATGACATGGACCAGGCCAGACACACACACACACACCCACGCACACACACACCCACGCACACACACACACTACATTACGCAGCAGCAAAGCAGGCTTCGCAGGCCTCGATGGCCAGCACTGCCTGGAGCTGTTCAGGGTACCACGCCGCCAAAAAGATTCGGTACAGTTCCCGGACATCTTCATCCTTGGATACAAGCGCCAGAGACAAAACATCACAACAAGCTGAGCACGAGAATGCCCGTTTCCAAACTGCCAATCAACTCAAAGAAAACCCCCCTACCAATCCTCAGCTTAGCAATCAAAGATGAATCGATTCAGTTAGCAAAACAACCAATGATGAATCAAGCAGCGTCTCACCATAGCAATCATAAATCAAACACGATCTTCAGCCTTCAGCAGTTAATATAGTGGGAGATTTGCCCAAAAGTGCGCTGATGGGAGTGACGTGTGTCAGAAGCCTAGGGTCCCTTGGCTGCCGAGCCAGCCTCATCTGGCGAAAAATGTGAGACAACATCTTTCGCACACCCCAGGCGTCCGCATGCCTGGACACCTTACCAGGCATCGCCGCAAGGTCGTCACCAAACAGCAGCTTCCAGAAAGCTTTCACCTGGCACAAAATGGGTACGAAGCAGAAGGGGGAAAGGGAAGACAGAGAAAGCGCATACTTTTTTGGGGGGGTCTCGAAGTTTGTTAAAGCTGGACTGGGTGAGAACAATAAAACTTCAACTTGCTGGGAGGACCTCCTTGCTCAAGGATTGAAGAGGCGGGGTTCGCGGGCCACCCGCCGCATCGAAGTCGAGGATCTCCACCCAAGTGTAGGCAGCATGCGTCAGCAGAGGGATGTTCAGCGAAATGACTTTCCTTAGAAAAAACGTGCTCTGGCTTGTCAACCTTTTTGTTGCACATGGCGCAGCTGCCAACGTCAAAAACAATCACCCATGTGCACCAATCCCCCACCATTAGTGCTAGCTAGGTTCTGGGACACAACGCCAACGCTTTCAGGAGTAAGCCATTGGACTAACTGCCCCCTTCCGCGGGCACCCTGGCGAATCGCTGGATCCATCTCCCATTTTTCAGCCAGGCCTGTCAAATGGATGAAAGGAGTGTCTGGGACCGCAGCCGCATCCTCCAGCGCAGATACCAACGCCATGGGGTTCAGAGCTAGCACTTTCACACTAAGCCAGCCACAAATGATAGTTCCCCCTTTGGGCCCAAATGGTCACCCCAAAAGGCTTTGCGTGTTTGCAAGCGCAGCCTAAAGCATCTATGGGAAAAAAAGGGCCGTGACAGGTTGAATGGAAAATAAATCTATAACCTGGGACTATACTAACTATACTGAGATTGATGCCATGGACGGTGATCAACTGCATCCAAGCATTTGCCAGGCAGCACCTGCGTGAGGAGTAGCCGATATATAGACTTGACAAAGGTGTGGGATATGGGCTGGCAAATTTGTGGTTTGGAAACTTGGCGCGTCCCTGCACTGCCTCCGCAAAACACATTTCTTTAGCATGGCACATGCCTATCCACAGCCCGTTCGTCAAAAGCGACCTGTCCTTTCAGCACCAAACTGGCGCTCAGCTGTCCACCAGGGATTCGGCTGAGGCCGAGCTTTCCTCATTTCCCTTAGTGCCGGGTCATGGGTTGTGTCAGTTTGTTGCTTAAGGCACTTCCAGCGCACGTAGGCGTTGAAACAGTGAAGCATGGCTTTGCCAGTCAGTCAGGTATTCTCTTTATAATATTATTTCAAAAAATATATATAATGAGTCTCCAACGTACCTTTTTTTACCGGGGAATTATAGACAGTAAGTTCACAAAAAATGGCATGTGCAAGCATCCGCATGGGTGTTTGGTATTTGGCCATCTTGTTTTTCCTTCGTTATTGCCCATGCGCCAAGCGGCACTCTGAATCCCTCCTTCCCAGCAAAAGTTTCACGTTTCGCCAAACAGTTTGGGACTCTAAATGATGCAGTTGTCCAAAAGTATTTGCGTCGCTTTGTCTGCCCCCGGTCCTTGTTTGCTTCGTTTGACAAGCTGAGCAACAAGGCCGCCAGCGTCACAGTTTGAAAAGATGGTGTCCACGGTCTTCGCATCTAGCCTTTGCGCCTCAAGCGCTTAGACAGGTGTCACCACTGGTGGTGACTTGCGATTGGGAGCCAAACCTTTGGAAAGACATGAGGCTGAATGAGCACCAAAGAGTATCGGAGGAATATATTCAGTTGGGGCACTTTCGGAGCGAAAAGTACATCTAGAACATCTCGCCAAAACTGATCCGACATATCCTGCATACCTGAAAGGCAAGGAGTCAAACAACACCCACTTTTGGGTCAAAAACAAAAGGCATGCAACATTCAAAAACTTGGGCCATCATATGTGCCTGGCCTCGTTTGTTAAATCCATTTTCATACGTGGGATTGTCTCGGAGGAAGGCGCTCATGGAGAGCTCTGCATTTGATTTGACATCCTGTGACATGAGTACCAATTGATCATCGATCTGTATATCCCTTGAGCCACTTGGGCCAGCGTGGCAGGCAAGCTTGAAACTAGCAAAGAAGATATCAAAAGATCAATGTCTAAGTGTCACACGTCCAGATTTGCTTGCAACGCTGCAGGGGGGTATGGGTGGCACCTCTTCACATCTTGCCACAGGATTGCGATCACCACATTGTGCGGTTTGAACCCACAACTCTGGTGAATCCATAAAAAAGGTAAGCTCTTCCAAAAAACAGCCTTTCGAAAAAAAATATCATTTTTTGTGAAAGACCTTAAAAAAAAAGGTACGTTGGAGACTCTAGGTATATATATATATATTTACTTGTAGCCTCTAGTCTAGCCCGAAGGTGGGTGTTCCACACCCGGCCATACAAAACTGCAGCCTGTATGCCCCATGTGAGTCCAATAGGGCTATTCCATGCTATTATACCATACTATACCACTTATGGCACCACATAGAAGGTTGAACCCTTAGCAGGAGAAAAAAGACACCAGTCATTTCTCATTTCCAGCCCAGTCCTTTGGATGTCAGGGCCATTCCCCAGGTTCGGATCGCAGTTGATTCGATCGGACCAGGTGCGCCCGGAAATCAGTGGCTCAGCCACCAATATTCAGCATTAGACATTTGGGAATATTTGGGACGATGATTCCAGCTGACTGTCTCATTTTTCAGAGAAACTAGCAACCCAGTGTACATCTCTGTATATGATATATAATTACGTATATGTTTTGTATATGTATGTCTATATATATATATATATGTGCATTTACAGTACACACACATATATATACATATATATATTTATATTTATATTCATATTCATGCAAGTACAGTTATTACATTTATAATACTTATACTTATACATTCATATCTCGTTGTTTCTCATCATGTGTTTCCTTCAATTGTGGTTTGAGTGTGTGCCCCGTTGGACAACCCCTGCGGTGTGTGTGATATTTTTGCACAAAATGCAAGAAATAAGGAACACTGTGGATGACATTGCCATTTGAAGGAAAACACTGGATACCCAATTCATGTTCAGCGTACGCATATCCTAGGTGATGTTCCACTGAAGATCCCTGAGGCGTGTGCCTCACATAGACCGTATACTATAGCAGGTATCCCCAATCTCAGTACTTGCAATTTTCTTTCATGTTTGGTTGTTCAAAGGATGACAATACGTTTAAACTAACCACTTTTACACCTACACCCCAGTTGACCTACAGAAAACTATGGCAATCATTCATCTGGTTGGTGGTTTGGAACATGGCTTTGTTTTTTCCATATATTGGGAATTTCATCATCCCAACTGACGAAGTCATATTTTTCAGAGGGGTAGGGCTCAACCACCCAGTCATGGTGGATTTCCCACAGCATCCCCTGAGATTGGTGCCGCCCTCTTAGAGCACGACTTTTCGCGGGCACTCCGCGGCTGGGCCCGAATCGCGTATTAATGCGATGGATGTTAGTGGGATTATGAATGGATATTACTGAGATATTACTGGTATACCATAGTGGATGTTTATCTATATATATATGATATATATATATACACACATACATAGGATATATAATTGTATGCATGTATATATATATATACACATGTAAGCATTATCAACAGGGCTTATTCTATTGACAAACAGCATGGATATTAAAAAATATTAATTGGGAGATATTTGGACAATAAATTGTGCTGTGGATATTTAATTGGAAGATCATCTACAAGTGGTAGATTTTCCAGGAAACCATGGTTGATTACCGGATGCAGGAAACCCAACAACCTCCCATGAGGAGCGTAGCATCAGCTGGGGGGGTTTGCCATGAATTCTTGGTTTGATGCTCCCATTCTTGCTGGTCAAATCGCATTTCTCAAAAACCACCTATAGACAAGTATCATGATCCTGTAGCCCACCTTTAAACAAATCCGGCATGTTTTGTTTTTTCAATTTGTCCATGTCTTTGTTTATTTTTTTATTACCCTCTGGTAAACTAACATAACTATGGAAAATCACCATTTTTCATGGGAAAACTCACTTTTTCTATGGCCATTTTCAATAGTTTTTTCACGAAAGCTAGCGTCAGCTAGCTGGAGTCTTCTTGCTTTAGCAAGTATTCAGGGGGCTGCCCAAGGACATCACGTGATTTTTCACGTGAAAAGGCCCCCCCCCCCCCCCCCCCCCCCACAACCACCACCATCATCATCATCATCATCGTCATCATCATCATCATCGTCATCGTCATCATCATCGTCCTCGTCATCGTCATCGTCATCGTCATCATCATCATCATCATCATCATCATCGTTATTCGAATACATTTTATCCTTATTGGCAATTATTGGCATTATCACGAAAGCTAGCGTCAGCTCGCTAGAGTCTTCTTGCTTTAGCAAGTATTCTACGGGGCTCCCCAAGGACATCACGTGATTTTTCACGCGAAAGGCCCCCCCCTGCCCCCTCCCCCATGTTTATCATTGTTATATATCATATATCATATATCATTGTTGCATCCTCGTTGGGACGAACAATGCCGCGACACGATGATGACAGTCCCTCCGCAACTCACCTCTTCCCTTCCTTCTTTCTCCTACCCCGCTAGCTTTCGTCATCCACCCCCGGCCTCAAGTGTATGTTTACCAGGCCGGGTAGCTTCAAGATATGTCCGGCTGGTTGAATCCCCCCCGGTTTAGGCCTCATCCTGGGCGATGTGCAGATCATGGCGCCGGCTCCAGCGCCTCTGGGCGAACTGCTGTGGGATCAGGCCGCCAAGGAGCGGTGGTCCACCGGCTCTGAGCCGTTGCGACATAGAAAATGGCCATAGAAATAGTGGATTTGCCCATTGAAAATGGTGATTTTCCATGGTTTTTTGTATGTTTACCAGAGGCTACTGAAAAAGATCATGATTGACTCAAACCCCAAACAATATATATATATATATCCCGCAGGACTGTTCAGTGTATATACTTGTTTCAAATAATGGTTGTAAATACGTTACAACAAACATTCACTAAGCATTTACTGAAACAGATTATTCATTTACTATCAATTTAACCAAACAAACCATTCACTCCACACATCCAACTTCCCAGGAGGCGCAGGATCAAGTCCTGACCCACTGGAGAAGCGGTTCCGTTGCGGAGGCCGCCGAGGCAGGGATTTATGGGTCCAACTGGAGGTACTTGACATACCCTCTGGTAATTTAACATAAGTATTGAAAATTGCACATTTAGTTCGTTGATTTACCCATGAAAGATGGTGATTTTCCATAGCGAACTGTTAGTTTACCAGAGAGTAATTACTATGGATATCTCATGATATCTCGATGGTTGCGAAATGGGGATTTCATGGGATTTAACACTCGGGGTTTGGGATTCTAATCCAGCTACAGATCCGGTGAAAACATGGCGGGCCACTGGGAAATGCCGGGCCACTAGATGCAGCTTTAAATGGTTCGGTGTTTCATTACCGGAGGGTATCTTCATGTTTCTTTCACACACACACACACACTGTATATATATATAATTATATATATAGACATGTGTGTGTGTGTTTTCTTGGTTGGGGGGAAGGCTATAGAATTATATCAAACACTTAAGATGGAGATATATCAACCTCATCAGGCAATAAAGGAAGAAAAACACATGTTTGTGCAGATGGCCTAGGATTGACCATGATTAAATCATTGAAAGTGAGGATGTAACCAACTAAAATGTGGGAAATGCAATTGGTCTTCTAAATATACATCTGTCCAAAAGGGGGTCAGACAGGCAAAATCAGTATGTCTTTCAACAGAATTTTGCTGCTTTTTTTTTCAAAGCAAACTGCGGTGAAAGGTGTGTTTTTCGCGACGCGCCACTGTTGTTGCTACTCCCCTGCAGAAAGCCCTGCCGCTGATGCCGAAGCGATACAACCTGGAACGAGGCCAGCGTTGAGGCAACAAAACTAGGGATTTACATGATTTTACATGGAATTCCCCCAAAAAATCGTCGTTTCACCATGGTTTCAGGGTTTGACCAGTTGCATGTGGAACATACACCAACATACACCATCGTCCCATTGATCGAGGCGTTCTAAAGAGCTTGGCCCAGGGCTTGAACGCCGAAGAAACGTTGCAGAAGCTGCCGCGGCACCTGCTGATGCTTTACGTGACTGGGTGATTTGGGTGTTCTAAGTGTTCTATGGTTATTTAATAAGCCTATTAAAATTGTGATAGTAAATCCTAAAACCATGGTTCATCCCTATTGAATCACCATTGATAGTGTTTTAATCTCATGACATAGTGATTTGATGGGATTTCACCACTACTGCAGACTACAAATGGTGATTTGTTTGGGAGTTGCCACCTGGTTATTTTACAGTTTGCTATGCAAAATGGACCATTTATAGATATTCTGATGGTTTGCCTATTAAACATGGTTATGATTCATCAACCGTCGCCCAGTTGTTCAATTTGTTGCAGCATCCCAGGCATTGATTCGCCAGATCTTCAGATTGAAGGGTTTCGCAATGTTTCGCAAGTCTCATTCTGTTCGCACTTTCAATGGCTATCCAAAAAATGAGAAACATGCCGGGTAAATGGTCCTTTCAGGTGCAAAAGTGCCAAAAAGGGTTTTGCCGGGGCCGTGAAGAATCGGGTAAAAGGAGTTGCTGAAAATCCTCTCCAACGTCACCATCCTTCGAAACAGAATCTTCAAATTCTGGTTCACTTTCCACTTTGGCAACTTTGGTTCAGGAGAACCTGCCTTTTTTCCCTTGTCCAACCATACTTGGCACACCAGGTCGCTCCGCCCCGAGGTGAAGGCGGCACAAAGTCGCATCTTCAACGAGGTGCTGTGTTCCATCGGGACCCCAAGACATGGTTTCAAGATGTTCCTAGACCCGGGGGTTCAACAGATGGGAGGGGGGTGCATTTTTTTGGGGGCTGAACATGGCCATTTTGTTGCAGTTTCATGGGGTTTCAGTGTTGGGTTTGGAAACGACATCACCTATCTTTCTGAAAAAGTTGTGGGGCGGCTTCATCACAAAACCATAAAGGATGGCTAGTAGGGGAAGTCATCCCAAAATAGTTCGTTGTAGGCGTGGGAATTCAATGTCCTACTTTGCGTACATCCCTGATCAGCACTGCTACTGGATAGATCTGACCGATATGAAATGCTGTTTGTGCTCCATCCGGGTCATCAGAGTTTGCATTGTATTGGTGAGCTATGGCGTAAACATAGAAAGGGGTCATAGATAATTCACGGATGGTCTCGGCATAAATAAATCATGATTTGTTGTGACATGTTGTGACTATTTCGGCTCAAGCAGAAGCGAGGGTCGGTCCAGCGCTGGAGGAGTGCAAACTGATATATATATATATATATGGCTTCTTTAATCCCAAAGCAACATGGAAAATGGACAAGTTTGAAGAGATGGCCAGCAATGTTCCATACAATGCCCTACAATGCCTTACCATCCCCATCCCCAGCTAAACATCTACAGATCCCCATGGCGTGGAAGGCGGGCTCTGGCCCTATGCCCACGGAGCCTTCACGAATTTTTCCGCAGACCAAGAATGAGGACTTTCGCAGGCAGTTCTCTTTGGCCGCAGATGAGCGGGTCATCAACAAGCTGGGAACCAAGATGAAGTTTTCAGAAGGCGCCTGGCATTTGTTTGAAAGCAAATTATAGCCATCTTACAACGACCCCACCATAGATGAATTATACCAAATAAGATAAATAAATGATGTATATATACGGATATACGTATATATATATATATACACCTGGCACAGCTCGGGCAGGGAGACCTGAAGGAGATAGAGAGAGAGATACACACACACACATATATATATATAATACATATATACATATATATATATATATATACATATCATTTTAAGACATGTGGTAATGTGCCCAGTTTTCATTGCCGGGGTTTAGATGCTTTAGCTTTTGTGGGTGACTGTTCTGTATTATATATTAGGACAAAGTCCAGGCTTCCGTAGGTGTAATGAGTTGGCACAAGGCGGATCCTGCTAGCTCATTCAGTGGGTTTATAACTAGGTGAATTCTATGTTTTCTGGATGTTTAGGGGCACCACTAAAAGGCACCCTGTATATTTTGGCTCTCCCACCAGGTGTGATTTTCATGATGAATTCCCTGACGGGCTTATCCTTGCTGACGCTGCCCTATGGCTTTGGCGAAGCCGGATTCCTGCTGGGGGCTTTGATCATCTTGGGCTGCATGATCATTTCGTTTATGACGGCAACCTTCATGTGTGACTAGCTGGTGGTTGTTATGGAATTACGAGCCCGGTGCTTGCTTTAGTCATTAAATATCATTCACATAGATATGACATATGATATGACATGATATGGCTTGCTTGGGGGAAATCCCTCATTGAGAGCTGGAGTTTCCAAATCCCAGGTTGACATTACAGTCAGCAGGCGTTTTTTTTGGGATGTGTGCATCCATCCCCCAGGGCTGCAGTGACTACCCCTGAAACTGAAGATGGGAGCTGCCGGCGAGATGATTTTCCGACATTTTTCTGACTGGAATCGATGATTTTTGGGGTTCAACCTTCAGTTTCAAGGGCGGTGTGAAGTTCCAAGTGACTCATTCTTTTGAAGCGGGGCTGCAACCACAAGAACAACTGAGGTGAGGCTTTAACCATCGCCAATGCATTGGAATACGAACAGGCAGAAAGAGAAGTGTTGGAGGAACAGACGCCCGAAGTCAGGAAGCAGCTGCATGATGCCATCCAGCATGTGTCCAAATCGGAAGCTGGGATGGAAATAGGTCACCTCAAATTATAAGTCAAACATATACCAGGGTTGATCGGTTGACCCAACTTGAGCCATAAGCGTTGTAAATTAGTAATCTTACCGATCTTACCTAATATTTCACACATTTTATACATTTTATCTCATTTTTTTTGATGATGTAACTGTAGGTTTTCTACGTTTTTATACGGCAATTTCACCACAGTCACTTGTACCATTTGTACCTGTTGGGAGCGACCCGGGAGCGACCTGGATCCAGGTGGGTCAAATGTATCTCGACCAATGCAATTGACAAAGGTTTGAATTTTAACCTGAGATAACCTGAGTGAATTCATAGTAATATATATATATATATATTTGTTATCATAGAAACTTTGAAATTGAACATGGTCCAAATTATCCACCAAACATTGGAGGGTTCAGTGCGACAAGATCTACAAGCGGCCAGGAATTCTGCACTCAACGATCTGATCCATCAAGCTGGTGCTTGAGGGGGATTGGCTCCCTTGACCTTCATGATTCTGTATTCTTTACTTGGGCTCAGAATGATTAAGATACCTGATACCTTTGATATTGTTTCAGTAAAATTGAAGGTCTAGTCATGCTTAGTTGTCGTGTATGTTCGGTGATGTTGGTCACATGTTGTCACATGTTGGTCACATTGGTTCCATCTCTATTTGCATGGTTAAATCAGTTGAATCCCATGTAAGTCCAATGTAAACCCCATGTAAACCCCATAAATCCAATTTTCCCCTATCGATCCCATATAGAAATCCCATAATTTTATATATCCCATAGACGTTGCGTAAAAAAAGAACGACGCTGCGCCGGTTGGCCCCAGGAAGGCTCCTTGCGTCAGAAGCTCCTGGAGTCCGTGAGTCCGATGACGCCGACGACGCCCACGGACATTCCAAGACGCGAAACGGTGCAGGTGTCGTTCGCGAAACGGTCGGGTATAGGGAGGGCTGAAAAGCATTGGTTGGGATGGTTAACGTGGTTTCAAACATGACTGGATGATTTTCCATTCTATATGGGATGTCATCCTTCCCAACCATATATTATCCCATATTATCCCATATTATCCCATATGGATAACCATGATGGTTAAAACCATATATTATCCCATATAGAATGGAAACCAGGGATATTTTTCAAGATGGTTATTGCACCACCAACCAGGGATGACCTGCGGATTCCACCAAAGATGGACCGCACATGGGAGCCGATTGATCGGCGATTCATCGGCGATTGTTTCGTGATTGAGACAAGCATTTGTTGTATGAGAATAATCATGGTAAGAGGAGACATCAATATGATATGGCATGATATGTTGTTTTTAGACATATATACATATAATATCATATACGGTAATATATATATATATATTCGGGTTTGTTTGGATGATGATGCTGGTGATTCGCCGCTAACCTTCCTATTGATGGTATCCAATCCCAGGTGTTTCAGGCCGAGAACCGCGTGAAGAACCCGGACCGGGAGTTCAAGATCCGCGAACGTGTGGAACTGGGAGCTGTTGGGGAACGTGTCCTGAAGACTTCAGGACTGGACAAGATGAGTCTTGGGCTCCACGAATGGACCAAGCAAGATACCCTCTGGTAATTTAACGTAGCTATTGAAAATGGCCATTAATAGTGAGTTTTCCCATGAAAAATTGTGATTTTCCATAGTTATGTTAGTTTACCAGAGGGTAATGCAGCTAATGCACTCGTTTCATAAAGCAACATGGCAATGAAACATGAATGTCCCATTCAATATGAAGGCATTTTGCGGCAAGTTGGGATTGGTCATGGCCAGGCTTGATTAGCGGTGAATCATGAATCTATAATTTGAAAAATGGGTAACAATCCCCAAATTAAGGTAAATTAGGATGCGTGGGATTTTGGTGCAATCATTCAGTCTTGGGTGGTGAGTCGTTAACCCAGGATTGCTGCCACCATCTATGTCATGATCTTAGCCTTCACCTACGGCACGGTCTCGGCCCTGGTGGTGACAGTGAACCAGTCACTGGCGCATACCCTGCTGGGAGCGGCCAGTTTGATGGGCTATGCAGAACTGGGTGAGAACGAAACTGGGCTAGTTTAGGCTGTTTTGTCTGGAAATGGGGTACCACAATTGGGCAGTGGGAGTGATGATTACTGTAACCATGAAATTTTGGGTATTTTTAGTCAGTTTTGTTCAGCTTGTGGGTGATTTTCTAAGTCCCAAAAGAATTGCCTCAGTTTGGCCCAATGATTCAGCCAGAGATTGAGTCGAGCACCAGGAAGTCTACACACCTTGTGTGATTGCGGTATTCTTTATCACCCTTCCCCTGTGCTTCAAGAACTTGCAGAATACCAAGAAGTTCACGGTAGTGATCATGTGGTGTCGCTTCCTAGCCATCACCATTTTGCTGATTGTAGGCGTCTACAAGTCCATTGAGCGATTCCGCCATGAGAACCTTAAGGAGATCATGCTGGACGTTCCACTCTGGAAACCCAGAGGTTTCGTGGCGGTCTTTGGAAACTCGGTCTTTCTCTGTGGAATTCACCATTATCTTCCAAGCATGTTGCCTGGATCGTTGGCCGAGTTGTTTCTTTTAAACTGCATTTCTGTGTATTTCTATCGGGGTTGCTGCAAGTCAAGCAATGGTTCCCCTTCTCAACGTGGGATCATTATGGGGAATCCATGAGCTCCCCCCAAAGCTCTAGTGCTCACTGAACAGTGTTTGTAGGACATGACAAGATGTTGCCATAATCTTATCTTTCCATATCTTTCCTAATTTCTGCACAAATCCAGCCATTTTGATATGGTAATGGATCAAAACCTCTGACATAGCATTCTGTCTGATGAACATCCATCAATCCCAGTTATGAAAAAACAACCAGGGGAATCCATGGCAGCAACCAAGGATTTCACCCTTAGAGCAACAGACACAGGCGCCCAGCGTCATTCGTACCGCATTCTCCAGTTGCTATTTGTTGATCCTGGCCATCTGCGGCACCGCGCTGATTGCCTGGGGAAATCAGAGCTGGAGCACGTGCTCCTCCATGCCCGGGGGGCACTACTGCCACCTGGTGGCATGTTACCCTCCAGTAAACATACAAAAAGCTATTGAAAATGGTCATAGAAATAGTGGATTTACCCATAAACAATGGTGATTTTCCATAGTTATGTAAACGTTTACCAGGGGGTATGGCCCTGTTTTGTATGGGGGAACATGACGAACAAAGTGGGGGAACATGTTTCGATGTTTCGGCTGGTGCCAATTGGCCAATCCAATCCCATCCTACATCTGCAACATTGCCCGTTCCTGTAGGGAAATACAGGCAACCATACAGAGATACAGCGCAAAAGGGGAATTGCTTTTCATGTTTAAGTTTTCAAGATCAATGACTCAACCACCATTCAACGCATTCCTGGGAAAGTTTGCTGGAAACCATGGGTTCTGCTTCTATCAATATAGGGCCTATAGGGCCCACACATGTTCAGGCCGGATCCAGCCCTTGTACAACCTGAACTTCGCTCCTCTGAGCCTTGGTGGTGGCGCGGTGGCCCTGTTCCTGTTGGCCTACCCTGCCATGGCAATTGCCAGCATTCCCATTGCGGCCATCACCACGCGGAATACCACGGGCCAATGGTTGGGCATTCAAGCAGCGGACCCGGAGGCATCGGCTAGCAGAATTGGATGGGATGATGGGATGGGTGAGGACCTCATGGCCTCCCTTTTTTTCCCCCAACAGAGAAATACCGAAATACCCTCTGGTCAACGTTTACATAACTGGAAAATCACCATATTTTTGTTTTTTTTTGAGTAAATCAACTATTTCTGTGGCCATTTTCAAGAGCTTTTTCTATGTTGACCAGGCCGGGTAGAACTCGGGTAGAACAGCGTTGGAGCCAGGCACCTTACACCTTCTCCAACATTGGTCTCACCATGGCCGTCCTGGTGCCACCCTTCACGGTGGCGCTGATTACTACCAATGTGCAGGCTGTGATCCAGTGGCTGGTGCTTTCCATTTCTGTTTCCTTTTTCCCATTTGGACGGATGATCCATGATGATTCTATATAGTTACTATATTAAGTTCGAAATCAATGATAAACCTTTGAGCTTGGCCAGATCTTCAGCATTTAGCGCCCCAATCTCATCGTATAATATAGATAATATAGCATGAATTAGCATGTGGAGTTTGAAGAATTTCATTTTGACCCTACTTCCATGTCTCTTTCACTGGCAAGTCGAGCAGCCACATACCTGAGGTATGTGGGTGGCTACGCAGGTCTCTCAGTCTCATTCCTCTGCCCGATGATTCTTCTGATCCGATGTCGGGAGATCTTGAACCTTCGCCGGGACAATGATGTGGCGCGGCCCTTGAAGTCTCCCTTCGCCAATCGCATGGGCTACACAGCTGTGACGTCGCTGTACATCTTTGCGCTCTATATGGTTACGAAGAGGCTTTTCTTTTCGAGCTGACTCAGGAAATAAAAGGAACTCCTAGACGTAGCAGTTGGTAGGCTGGTGGTTGTATACGTAGCATTTGAATCCACAAGTTTAGACGACAAATTCACCTGGAGTGTCTGAGTCCAAAATTTGCAGGTTGATATTTTGACTATTTGTTTATTATTCAACTATATTCTGGATGGTGATCCCCAATGACTATAGAATTGTGATTGAAACCATTTGAAACCGCTTATCACTTATGTCACGTTATCAGGGTGTGTCTCGTGAAAATCACCATGTCAGACAGTCTTCGGTTGCCACCATCCAGAGCCAAAGAGCCTGGCGCGAGAAGCGTTAAAAAACGGCAGAAGGATGGGAGAGTTGCGTGCAGTCAAGGTATTACATATACATATAATTTCATATACGTATATAGACCTTTGGGTATGTACATATGTGTATATATTGTTGTTATTGTTATTATACATATATATATATATAGATGTGATATAATTGATAGGTGTATTTATATATATGTTATTGTTATTACATATTATATATATGGTGATATATATATAATATAATATATATATATATGTCTGTAGCTAATAGTATGAAGGTAGTGGTAGTATCTGGGAGTATATCCTGCTTAACATCTTCTCACTGGCTGTTTCAAATGCTTTTCTATTTCGGGAAATGCTCTTTACGGAGGCAGCGGACAACTTCAAAACGTTCAAAATGTTCGATTTAGGTCCAGGGCGTGTTTCAGTGCTCAAGCATCCTGGATGAGTGGTGTCATTCATCATTTACTGCCATTGTCACTGGACTGGGACCCGGGAGAATAATTTGAGGTTGAATTGAGACATCAAAGTGTCAAACCATGTTGTATGCCAATGGTGCATGGTAAAGCTGCCTCAGATTCCATTAGTTACACCAATCCTATGCATGCACATATATATATATATAGTATTTATAAAATATACATGATATACATACAGTTGGATACACATTGTTTTTGAATATATGTATGCTGTGTCACTGATATGTATATATAGTATATTTATGTACAGTATATTTATGTACTAATATGTATATATATATAGTATTTAGCCACTAATATAGCATATGTGTGTATAGTATATTTATTTACGTATGCAACGGTAGTACATTGCTTTTCTCCGCCAGGTGCTTTCCCGGCGCGTGGCGCGCCATGGAGTTACACCGCAGCTGGGTGATATGGCCAAAGCGCGAAGTGGTGGGGCCCTCATCAGGGGCCCTGGTTACACCAAAATAGCTGGGATTTATGGATGTTCATCCTCCAAAATCGATCAACATTTGGTATTTACATACATAATCATACATATTTTCATTGTTTTGATCAAGTTTGATCCGCATATTTTTCCAAAACATTGCTATTTCGGTATTGTAGTCTATTCTGAGAGATCAGATTCCCGTTTCCAGACTCAGGTCTATGTTTTTTGCGTATCAAAATCACGGATTCTGATACTGGTTTCGGGACACAAAGGCCATCAAAAAATGCGACTATATAAAGTAGGACAGCCAAATTGGGAAGTGTTGTTTTATTAGTGAAAAAGCAAACACCGATCCGCGTGATATTCTCTTTCCACTCTCCCATTCCATCGCCGAATTATATGGAATCATGGCGGTCTGTTTCAGGAAACCAACCTCAGGTGTCCAACTGTAGTCCCAGAATGATCAAACTCTAAGAATCAACACTTCTAAGTGAAGCGTCGCAATTTTGTAATCCCGGCTACGTTCCAATTTGGTTTTGAATCCCAATTTCCAGCAACAAAACCTAATGTTTCAATATGTTTCATACATGTTTCTGGAACTATAAGTCCTAAAACTCTTGCTCTAAATCCAAACTTTCCATGGGACCCTCCTGTGCACCGAAAGGCAAGCTGGTCCATTTGGACGAAGAGACGCTTCCAATGGCCATGGATGGTAAACTGGAGGCCGAAATGGTTTGGGTCGGGGATGCTATGGTCCCCTTACCGCCAAGAACATGTGACCCAGAACAAACAAGTGCTTTGTAAGGCCCTATTCTGTAGGAACGTTCTTGCGTGTAATCTGTGTACTTGGTTTCTGTAGTAGCTTGATTGATACTTTTGTAATCTTTTGTATTTCTGAGTGGTCTCGAAAGGTCCTGTATAAATCCTGTGGTTGGTTTCTATTAAAACTAGCCGTCTTTTTGTCGTGGCCTGAAATGTGGCCTAATACGATTTGTAGATTGGAGATAAGCTGTGCCCCAATTTTTGAATCAAAATAGTTTTGTCGTACTGCCAGGTCTGTGTTCAATCCCGGGGAGAGGGGGGAGAGGGGAGAGATCGTTGGAGTTTTTTTAGGGGCTCGGGGTGCCAAACGGTGACCTGGGGTCACACATGTCAAAACCACCCATAGGACATGACCAAATAATAAATACCAACACGATCTTTTCTTGGTACTTGTTATTCTTCCCACCTTTTTGTTATGTTGTCATCAATTTTCATCAAATGTCCAACCTTTTTCATCATATTAAGTTTGGTCTAACACTGTTCTTCATGTTGTGATTCAATTTCATAGGTGTTTTCTATTTTTCTTCATGATATTCTTCAATTTCATCAGTGTTCCCACCTTTTCCTTTATTTTCATCACTGCTTTGTGTGTGTGCGCATGTATTCTTGGTGCGCCAACCACAGATGTGATGATGTACATGCGAATTTTATATGAATGAACGGTGTCATAAGATGTACTGCTGCGCTTTCCATTGCCCGAAAATTGACATCCATGTTTGTCAGTTTTTGCGATGTTTAAAAATGACCTGGAGATCGCATGTCATGAATGTTTCGGAGGGCGAACCTCACACAAACCTATCGCAAGAAATAATAGGTATGGTACTTGTTGACCTAAAGAAGATGACATGTCTGCCATGGTTTTTGTGTTTCAAAAAAATGCACTTGGCAGATGACATGAGCAAAGTTTTTTTTTCAGTTTCACTATTCTCATGTCATTTGAGAATTGTATAACGTACCGATAGTTCATTCTGATAGCGTCCCAAGACATTGTTCAGCTGTAGAAACAAACAAGGACGTCCGAAAACGTGTGCAAACATGAAACAAACCATAGCCAAGACCGTGAAAAAAACCGCTTGGGCATGCTTGGGATTGACAGAACAAAATGTGAACATTTACTGGAACCCCCGAACTCATTACAAAAGTGTCCTATTTTTCAGGACCATCCAGGAAAAAAAACCTTCAATTTCACTACAAAGATCTACAAAAGATACCCAAAAAAATGCCCAAACAACCCTCTACAAAAGGATCATGGAAATTTAGTGCTTCAACAATCAAAATCATTCAAAATCCATAGGCTAAAAACATCACCAATGATACGTTTGTAAGGGGACCTTTTCCTGACTGGGAAAGTGGTCTAGATGGTTTGGGTATCTCCGCGCTACAAGGTGGGGCCAGGATGCCACTTGAGGTGTTCAAACGATCTGAAATGAACCCATATCCCTCAGTCTAACCTGGCAAAGGTAAATCATTAATTTGTAAATCTAAAAAATGCCGAAGTATTTGGTCATTTAAAAAGATCTTAAAGAGATCTAAAACTAAAAGGGCATGTACTTCTGCAATGCGTCATTCCTGCGTGTATATTAAAATGGAGGACACTGTAAATAAGTGAACATGCCACAGATCTCTCTCTCTATCACTCAATGTAATGTGTATAATATTAAAGGGCTCCGCCCCCTGCCGCCGACCCCTGGGCATATCTTCTGTGGCGCGTGAGCAACTGCGCCATGGTGACTTGTCCGACAATAACCATCGCTTTCTGCACGGGCGGCCTACCACAGTGCCAGGCAGCTGGATTGCTGGGCAGGCGACGTGCCAACAACCAAGTTGCGCCGCGTTGCCTACACAAGGCCTAATTCCAGAAGCCATACAAGAGGCCGAATGCAGTTACTGTGCGGCTGATCGCCGTTCGCGCATACTTGTGGCGCAAGGAGCTGCGGACACACGGTTCCAGAAGGAATTTGCAGATGCGGTCGCGATTTTCGGCACCAACGACATCAAATACCACGTGAACAAGCTTCGCGCCATACAGTGGGCGAATGCCAG